TTATTACTCATACTCAGTAACTGCATAACTAGGCAAAAAGTACCCTGCCCAATATATATTTGTTAATTAAGATAAATATTCTGGTTAATTTGATAGATTTTCAGTTACTAATAAGAATGTAAAGCTCTATTAAACACACTTTACCGTGTTGAAATCTATTCTGCAAAATTACTCTGCAAATTGCAAAAATAAATAAAGATTGATCTACATTCATATAATTTCTTATATAATGTTGGGCCTAACTGATCCCACACAGTTTGTGGTGTTGTTGGACTTGTTTCACCTAGTATCTGAAAAAATGTTTTGATAAAAAAATGATAATGATAAAAAAAAAAATATCAGAATACCATAAAATACACTGTTCAAATGTCCCAATACTTTTATTCAGCATTAAGCACAATGTTGTTTTAGTATAAATTTAGTATTATTTTTGTATTAATATTTTATAGTTATAGTTATTAATATTTTGAATCATCTTATTTTTATATTTTTCATTTTCCCATTTAAATTTTAGTTAATATTTTGTTTTGTGCTTTTGTAATATATATATATATATATTAGTTTCTAATCGTTTTTATTTCAGTTTTAGTTATTTAAGTACAAGTTAAACTAAATTAAAATGAGAAATATTGGCTTGGCAACTAGCTGAAGCAAAAAAAAAAAAATTTTATTAAATCAAATAAAATGTTTTTAAAACATTTTTTAACATTGTGTTTTAATTTTAGTTTAATTTTTAATTTTAATTAACTATAATAACCCTGCTAAAGAGAACACATTAAATTGATCAAAAGTTACAGTAAAACTTTATTGTTGCAAAAACTTCTATTTAAACTTTCTACTAATCAAAACATGTATCACCGTTTTCACAAAAAATACATGTTGGTTCATCATGTGATCATGTGACACTGAAGACTGGTGTAATGATGCTAAAAATTCAGCTTTAACATTATAGAAATAAATTACATTTTTAAATATATTCAAATAGAAAACAGTTATTTTAAATTGTAATATTACTGTATTTTTTGACCAATAATTCAGCCTTGTTCATCATAAGGCACAAAAAAAAAAAAAAACGTAAAAATAGAAAATAATTAACAACACTTATCTGTCATAAACCTTTGAACAGTAGTATAAATGGTGGGCTTTTTTGACATAATAGACAAGTTACCATCTAGAAACCACCTTAGCAACTGCCTAGCAACCTGGTTACATCTTGTGTAAATGCCTGACAACATGGGACAAATGAAGAGCTATAATGTATATAAAAAAGTCCATAATGCTAGAGTGCAGAATATCTCTGCGAGCCTGCTGAGATGAATCGGTTATGAAAGCAGCTCTGTGAATTGTGATGACAATTGTCTCAATAAGGGCAACTGGTAATTGGAGAAATGTATTAATCATGGAAAGCACCAGGGCCGTTCTCAGCACATGCATCATGTGGAGGAAGCTTCTCCTTGGCAACACTAGGCTATGTTTAGGCAGCGTGTGCCAACGTTTGTTCTGGTGATGGTCGATTGATTTGAGTCTCACTGGAAGCAGGCAAGACAACAGTTTTTGTCCAGAATATTGTTTATGCAATAATGGATCATTAAGTGCTTGTTTTGGTATCTTTAGAGGATGTATCAACTGAACATTTACTTGAATTGCAGACTTCTTTCTCAGTGCTCTTCTGGAAATTCTTACACACTGAAAGGGAGAGTTCACCCAAAAATGAAAAATTGCTGTTAATTTACTCACCCTTTAGGCCATGCAACATGTAGGTGACTTTTTTCTTCAGTAGAACAGAAAAGAAGATTTTTAGCTGAAACTGTGCTCCTTGGTGATTCATAAAATCAGTGGCTACTCATTTCTGAGAATAAAAAAAAGCATATCAGTGAACAAAATTAATATCCATGGCTCCTGACAATATATTGAGGTCTTATGAAGTAAAACAATCGGTCTGTGCAAGAAACTGAACATTATTAGCAACGTTATATTACCTGTAATGCAGAGCCTCAGGACGAATACATGTACCGTTACACCCCTATTCTTTATAGTATAGAAAAAAGTTATTTAGGTTTGAAAACATGGTTCTTTTCAGAACTGTTCACTGGAGGTTCTTTGGGGAACCAAAAATGGTTCTTCTATGGCATTGCTTGCTGCTGCTGCTATAGTAAAAACAATAGTCATGCAAATAATTCTGTGGCAGAAACATGCATCCACTTGTGTGAGGGAGAAAACTGAGTTGCAAAAAGTGCAATTATTGTCAGAATTCCAGCTGATTGGTTTCGGACAGAAAATTGTACAACTTTCAAGTGCAGGAAAGGGTTTTTAAAGCCTCCGATATCAAAAGTGGCAGGAATTATGGCTTTCACCATGGCAACAAAAGTGGAGAGCTTTCATTATGCCCCAGACAGCTGACGGAGTTACTTAAATTCTCCTTTTGAAGTGGACTTTGAGCGTTGTAACTTTGCAGATCTTTTTTATGCTCAAACAGCAACATTACAGACTAACTAAAGTTGAAAAATTGAAAACGCATAATAGGACCCCTTTAAGACGAGATATATCAGATGTTTTCCTTTGGGAACGGATCAGACACTTTTGACAAAATTAGATATTAGATAAGAGTAATTCATAAGATCGTCTTTCACTCCTTCAATGATGTTTGTGCAGAATTTAGGCATTGATATTTTCTTTATAATTAATTGAAAGTAATATTTAATAAATTTTTTCGTAACAATAATAAATATGTATTTTTTTTTAATGCAACCAAGCATTTTGTCATGTCCTTGCTGGACTTGGTGAATTTGAGATAACTCATAAAAATGTGCACATAATAAGTTTTGTCCCTCCGTCGGCACTGAACGCCATCATCTTTGGCCATAAAAATGTGGGGTCCACCCTTATGAGACATCATTAAACAGAGGTGACATCATTCAGCTGTTTAAACAATGAGCAGAAACCGGCAAATAATATCATTAATTTATGTCTTGCAGAATATATTGATGGGGATGACTTTTGAGCTCAACAGCTGAACAACAAATATATATTAAAGTCCTTTTGCAGTCATTAATTTTATCCCTTAAAACTCAATAAAAAGGACATTTTTAAATGTCTCGCTTTATTTTAAGGTCCAATTCTCACTATTAACAAACTGTTAACTATTACTATTACCTACTACTCCTAATTTGCTGTATGCAGAATAAGGCATTAATATGTGCTTTATAAATGCTAATAAACAGCCAATATGCTGTAATATGCATGCTAGTTAATGTTTGTTTGTTTTTTATATATATATATATAAATTATTTTACATGGCTTGAATATAACACCTTTACCTCATTTAGTATATGTGGATACATTTAGTAGGCTATTCGCCTGCTCCATATTTACTCATTTGGCAAGTGACAATATTGGATTAATTCAGCCATATACGTTTAAATGAAGAAACTGATTCCAAAAAAAAGGAGCAAATTATTCAGGGTCATCTACATGTTAATGTATCAAAATGGTAATACATTCTATGTATCGCTCCCTACAACGTCGGATACGTAAAGGTAACAGATATCATTAGCCTTTGGCTTGACTACATTTTCAAACAGCTTAAAATGTGTTGCTTAAACCATGTTCTTGTGATATGCTAATGATAGGTTGACTGGATTGATTACATGTTTGTGATGGCAGTAAACAGGAACCGTTTCAAACCAGGTTTTTCAGAGTTTCTTATGCAGTTTTAAGGAGAAAATGCTCAGCAATGGTGTTGAATGATGAATCTGCACATGGTTTGTCTTTAAAGGGATAGTTCACCCAAAAATGAAAATTACCCCATATTTTACTCACCCTCAAGCCATCCTAAGTGTATATGACTTTCTTTTTTATTAAAAAATGTCCTGGCTCTTCCAAGCTCTTCATTGAATGGTGGTCAAGATTTTGAAGCAAAATAAAGTGCATCCATCCATCATAAAAAGTACTCCACACGGCTCCGAGGGGTTAATAAAGGCCTTCTGAAGTGAATCGATGCGTTTGTGTAAGAAAAATATCCATATTTAAAACTTTTTAAACTGTAATAATAGCTTCCACTATGTGGTCACGAGAGAGTGGCGTTCCAGTGGATGACAGAGGACATAGCGTAAGCATCATAGATATTAAAAACACCATAGACATCTAAACAACGTCATAAATTAGATTTTCACCATAGAGGGTCTTAGAAATGAGAACTAAGCAAAAATATATTTTAATACAATAAGGATTAAAGGTTTTTTTCTGTGTGTGTGTGGAAGTCATTACAAAAGGGCTCCTGATGGTGGCAGGCTGGAGGCAAAGAGCCATGATATAAATTCAGACATCAGTGAAATTAATATATTAGTAAAGCTGTTTTTTTCTTCTCTTTTTGCAAATATTTAACTTAAGCTTAAAATAAATGACAATAACTTTTTTGTATTTTTTGTTATGTAGGCTAATCAGCCTATGTAATGTGGACATAAGTAATATATCCTGTAGCTGTAGATTTTTAACAAGTGTTCTTTATAATTATTCAGACAACTTCAGTTTTGTTGATAATATGATTAAATATAAATAGACAAAAGGTGAAACTATATTATATTTTTAATGCATGAATTGGAAAAAAAAAATGTTTTGTTGGAGGTAAATATGTGTATAATGTTGTGGGGTAGCCTATTCAAAAAATTTATTTAATTTATATATATATATATATATATATGCCTATACAGTTGACATTACCAGAGCCCCCCAAAAAATCGTTGTCAACAAGACAGCAGCCTAGTAACAGCAGGGCGAGACATGGCGGCAAGAACATGAACCTTACATCTCACACGATTCTCCTGATGTCTGTCTATGAACGAGCATTAATGACCCATCAGTCGCAATAGATGCGCCAGAATCTTCAAATAATTACCGCTGGTGTAGAAACTGAACCGCTAGAGGTCCCGCCCACTCGCTTGCTCGCGCAACCGGAGACTTCACGGAGGGTTCCGCTGCTGTCAGACTCTATTGCTCAACGTTTGCCAGACTTGGATAAGAGTGGTCGGAGGGACTTGGGGCCGGAGAAGGGATTCACGAGCGGATTTTTTTTTTTGGAGACACTCTCCAGTGGATTGTGATCATTTTGTAAGGTAAATAAGTGTGCTGATGCATGCTCGCTCATTTAAATGATGACTTTGCCCCGGCGACCGAGGAAACCACCCTTCTCCAGTTAGATGAACCTTAGTGTGCTTCACAGCACGTCGTTTGCACATGCATCGTTAGAGTTTAGTGTTGTCATATAGATCTCTAATTGTGTATTGCTTTATTTTTTTCTTTTTGTGCTCTTGTTCTATAACGGAGCACTTCTGTATCAAACATGACATGGGGAAGCTGGTTTAAAGCCCACCGGAGTTCGTCACACACGATAGATGCGAAACATCAGGCGATGTTGCATAATTTCACCCCCCAAATTATTGCTCTCCTCTGCGGTGTAGTATTATATTATATTGAGAGACTATAGTGTTGTCGGGTTTTGCATGTTCAGCCTCTGACTGAGGAATCTAAACTTTAGCTCACATTAGTTGAGTGCAGATACACTGCTGCATGTCGAGCATAATGCAAGACCATTCCGTTTGAATGATAGTTAGCCTAAATGACCAAATTCTAAGTTTATTCGATATGACTCGTGTCTGGCGAAACCGGTTTCATGCGCGCATGATCGTCAACTCCGTTAGATGTGTTCCTGTGGCTCAGTGGTAGAGCATGCGTAGAGGGTCGTGGGTTCAATTCCCAGGGAACACACATGCTGGTAAAAATGTATAGCCTGAATGCACTGTAAGTCGCAGCGTCTGCTAAATGCATAAATTATTAAATTATTAAATTATTAGATGCTCGTTGAAATAATTGCGTGAAATGTAAATGCGTTTGAACTGTGCCAGAGCTCTTCGGGGTCTTTGATTAGCACACAAATCAGTTTAACTAATGACAAATATTAAAAATCTCAAGAACCTAAGCTTAGTGAATTGTTAGCATGTTCTTATGCGCTGCGAGACATCCGGGTTCGATTCCTATGATGAATAATTATGTATTATTTTATTAATACAGGCTAATAATTGTAAAATTGCAACTTGGGTTGGTGTATATTTGACTCTTTGATTCTATTTTAGTTAGCAAATTTACTTTGTTCATAACCTAAAAGCAGCGATTAAGTTGATTTCTGTGGGAGCGAAGATGAAAATCCGCGATAAAACGATCGCGAATGGGCGCGTTTATTGATTTCCAACGGAAAATCGCTAGTAAGATAGACAAAGGAGAAAAAATTATTTAAAGTTATGTTGAATATATTTAAAGTTATGTCAGAGCAATAATTTTTTAATTGTTTATATTAGTTATTTTAATTAAACGAAACAGAACGCCTCTGTTTAAAATAACTGTAGAGTACATATTTTCGTGACTGCGATTATGGATCATTTTGAGCTACAAAACCTAGCAAAGATTTACAAACGCAGACGTTGTGAGGGACTGTTTGTGTTGCAGTATGTTTTTGTTGAAGTAAAGTGAAACTGAATTCAACTCTCAAATATTAAACCGCTTCTAAACGTAAGTTCCGTTCACACTGGCAGCGAAAACATAAAGTTGCTGTGTTGCTAGTTTTCGAAGTGTTTCTCTGCCATTGTATCCAGGTGAGTATAGGTACTTTTTCTGAATAAGTAATTATTTCGTAACTGTTCAAAAAGTGCGTTCTATAGTATTATTGTATGTAGTATGAATCTAATTCGGATGTACTACATTCGCCATGTTGTTGTCATGTGACTACTTTTGCTATTCGCATGTTCACATTTAAAGTGTCCATCTCAATGGTCATCCGGTTACTTTTTGCCTACTATTTCATGAATACTCTTTCACATACTGTTTTTCACCTACTGCGTTGTAGGGAAGTACACATATTCGGGTGCTGCCAATGACTTCTGAACACTTTGTTGCCCTAGTAACTACTACTCTTAAGATGATGTTACTTGTCAGATTGCATTGAGTTCAGGTCACTGTGTTGCTGCAAGTCATTGATGGTGTGAAAAGGGTTTAGAGGTCTGGTTTGTATCAAGACTAACCTTTCAGTGCATGCTTTGGTAATGTGCAGTTATTTATTATCAGTAACGTTTGAACATAAACTCCTTTACAGCGCAGTCTCGAGTCAAGTTCACATAATTGATGGGTGGGTTTTGTGGCATTTTGATTGACACAAAGCTTAATGGTATCTACTCGCTGCAAGTGCACAGACATCCCAGATGCCAGTATTGCTTTCCAAGCTTGGTTTTCTTCTTAGTGGGCAACATTTGCCATAGATGCCCCTAGAAATTCAGATGGGTCGATTGATACTTATGGCCAAGCTTGAGGTTAGAGCCAACTTATTAGATGGCTTCTTCACATAAAGTGATATCAGCTTAATGTGTAAAAAAATCATTTGTTAGGTTCCCAACAGAGTGAATGCAGGAAATTAACAAACAACCAACTTATTAGATGGCTTCTTCACATAAAGTGATATCAGCTTAATGTGTAAAAAATCATTTGTTAGGTTCCCAACAGAGTGAATGCAGGAAATTAACAAACATCCAACAATTATAAATCACAAATTGGTTAATATCCAAAATAACCAGTCAAGATGCTGATTAAATTTAAACATTGATGCAGTGGGCTGTATTTCTGATTACACAATGATTTACAATTATAGGGGTGAATGCAAATGTACAAAAATGGATCATTTAATCAGTGCCGTTTTATTAAATTAGTATTAAAATAGTTAGGCTATGTAATGATGAGCCTAGATGACAAATGAATTTATGGATGGTGCAAAAATGGAGACAAAAAGTCAAACTTTTCACACAATCATGTTCATGCAACATTAATTAGAAAACAACAGGACACTCTATTATGTCAGTGGTTCCTATGGGCTATATAGGCGACCAATCATTGATTTCTCACAGCAGTTGTTTATGAGGCTGACTTTATTCCTCTGCTGGCAGACTGAAGCATGTTAAGGATTTTTGCATATTTCGATTTATAGACTCTTAAAGGAATGGTTCAACATTTGCTGAAAATTTACTCCAAACTTTACAGTCCAAACAGCTGATAAAAACAACACAATAATCCACAAGCAATCCACATGACTCCAGTCCATCAATGAATGTCTTTTGAAGCAAAAAGCTATGTGTTTGTAAGGAACAAAGCCATCATTAAGACATTTTTAACTTCAAACCATTGGTTCCGGCTAAAATATGTGTCCTCTATCCATAATATTGCTTTAGGAATTGTTTTTATGGATTATTATTAGGAAATTGATTATGGACTATGCTCTGTCCCGGAGTGATGGAAACTAATGTAGACTGAATCTGCAATTAGTTGGTTTATCATAGACATTTAAACCACAACAATCTCAGAATCGTGTTATACTGATCCTTATTAATGATGAAGGGGTTATGCTGTTCTCTAATGAATGCATGCACAGAGAGCTGCAGACAGTGAGCTATATTATCATGATGTTCGCCCTCTGAATTCACCTTTATGCACTCCGTCATAGCTCACATCTGGTGTGATGGAAATAAAGCGATGCCCCTTCAGCCCTCCACTGAGACACCTGCTGCTCTTTACAGCCAGGGCTTGACAGAGTCTTCTGCCGTGGCATCCCTTTGGCACTGGTGTCAGTGGAAACCTGCCCTGCTCCTCTGGTTCAGTGTGCATTCATTTTCTTTCCAAGACTCAGATGGCAGAAAATAGCAATTAGAATCATTGTCTGACAGAAAATAAACCTCTGGACTGTTCTTTTTTCTGTCGGAGAATGCACTGTATTCTCTTATAAAAGAAACCCAGCCATTGTTTCGCTTGTCTGTTGTTCTAGAGTGCAATAAATGGATGTGAACTTCGCAACTTTGCAGTTGCATAATCAAAAACAGAATATTCAGTGGGAAGTAATGTAGAGTGGGACTTATTCCAGTCCTCAACATTGTGAGTAAATGTCTTTCTTTCTTTCTTTCTTTCTTTCTATCAGAGACGAGATTATAAGAAAATACCACTTAAACTTTTCTGAAGACAGTCAGTTCCCCTCAGCTCATTTTGAACAAACCTGTAAGTCAACAGGACAGTGCACGATGGTGAACGTCCTGCTGTAGTTTTCAGAATCATTTGGTCTACACGTTTAAATTTATGTTTCCTCTCTGAAAGTGTCATTGAGAGTTGTAGTTTATTGTGTTTGAGCTGATAGGAGTGGAAGGAAAGAGAAGGTTGGCACGCTACATTAGACATAATGTCAGTGCTCAGAGATTGCTGCCTCTTTATTTAGTGCCCTTAGCTGCTCTTCTTATTCCATTGACCTCTTGTATTTATTGCATGAGTGCATGTGTGTATAGCAGTTATAAGCATTGCAGATTCATAGCTGATTCTACACGTGTTCATGATCACACAACATGACCAGTTTGAGTCCAGCCTATGACATTTACTGATACCATTTTCCCTTCTTGTCCATTTAATTTCTTGTCTCTCTGTGCACTGCTATCAGGTGGAAATGTTTTCAGCATTTAGCACAATACACCGAGTGTACATTTGTTGTGCGTAAATGCTCTTATTTATTTGCTGTAATTTGTGGTTTGTTTGTATTATGGACAACCGTCATCATCCAAACACTGACATACTGATGAATGTATTGCTCTTGTTTTCTGGCAGACGTCCAGCACCAGCAGAGCATCAGTCTGGCCCACAGAATCCACTCATTTCTGACATGTCTGTTCATATTGACATACTACCATACTGCTCAGATTGCATACATTGCATATATGTATGTGTATATCTATAAGAAATATAAATAAATAAATCCCGCCTCTCGTATTTATTCATGCAAATCGGTCTGAATTAATAAATAATGCTGTTAATGGGAAGACTAACTCACCCACATAGATATCACGCTTCATGGCATGTCAAAATCAAACCTGAAATGACTTGAAATTTCATGAGGGTTTTTTAGTGAGCAATCAGCCTGATGAAATTAAAGGTACATCTCTGTGTCTGTAACCATCATGACATGCAGTGTTTACCGAGCTTTGATAACTGATGACCCGAAAATAAGTGGAATTAAAATGAACAGCTGAACATAAGTTCACAA